TTTTCTTTTTGAATTCTGGCTTTCCAAATTCTTACCACGGTGGCCATTAAACTCTACTTTCTAGAATTTCTCTAACCACTGCTCTAGACTCTTTCACATTCTCCTAACAAACCAGTGTCTAAGGTCTAAGGACCACACAGTCAGGGTTACCACAGCTAGTTATTTGATTTGTTGTGATAAAATATTGGGCAAATCCAGTAAAAGAGGGCAGGTTTTATTTTGGTGAATGGTTTAAGAAGGATCACAGACCATCACAGTGGGAAAAGCATGGTAGCAAGAGCCTGGTGGCTGTCACACTTCATTCCCAGTTAGAAAGTAGTGATTGTTTCTTAACAAAAGAATAAGCGAGATGTGGTGGCATGTGTCTATAATCTCAGCATGTAAAAGGCCGAGGCAGAAGCACTGTTGCAAGCAACAGAGACTTGCTTTCAAAACAAACGAACAAACCAACCAACAAACAAAGAATGCGCTGATCTGTTGAGTTTCAGCTTATGAAGATTCTGGAAAAAGGGAAATTAAGTCAAGCATTTAGGTTTGAAAGTGGGATAGAGGCCAAATGCCTCTTTTCTATGATGCGTTTCTTACCTCCCCACTCTCCTCATATACATGTGGTCCCCAAACTCTGGAATTACAGCAGGGACAAGATGAACATACCCTTCTCTGTAGAGAGGACTTCGAAGTCTGAAAGTCTGCTGGTGTCAGAGGGAAAACTGGGTTTTCAGACTGATTCCATAGAGTAATTTTGTCAGTGGTGACAAGGACACAGCTTTGTGTCAGCCACCCACAGCAGTGTTAGTCAGTCTCTTAATCTTTTAGAGACCTCAACTTAGGGAAAACCAGACCCTTGGCTTTGATGCAGAAAGGAATTTTGAGATGAGTCAATATGAAGCAGAGTTGGTATTTATTAAGAGATTTCAATAATAGAGCTTCATCATGAGGGTTGAGAGGAAGAGAGGCACTTGGGAAGAAGGTAATATGACACAGGAAGCTCGGATTTGGGCTTCATTGAGAGTCACTCTTTACACAATAGCCATTGTCCTTACAATAGGTATGTGTCAGAATATGTCAGATTTGTTATTTTTAATATCATTATCTTCAAAAGGTTGTTAAGGAATTTAGATGAGATTACAGGGTGGGTCTGGAGTTGTACCTGACAATATTATGATTGACAAAGTAAAAGTAGAAATCACAGGGATGCAGGAAGGTGGGACAGCCTCATTACAAACAAAGCTAATAGTCTTGTTTGAGAGTCTCAGAAAATGTGTGGGAGGGAAATGAGGACCTACCCAAAGTCATATGATTTCAGACCATAAGCCTGGCTCATTGCTACTTAACACAAAATATCTGTCTATGAAAAGAATGTTGACTCTTTGTCAGCAACCTGAACAGCAAACACCACTGTGTTGAAATTCTTGCTCGTTTTCGGGTGAAAGTTCTGGTGAAAAACTCCAAGGTAAGAGGCTCTTGTTCTCTCCTACCTCAACATAATTTTCATATAGGTTTTAGTCAGATTATATAAATGAATATAAAGTCAAATTGGTTTCCCATCCTAAGGATAAAAATGCTCTTAATGTTATTAAGAATAGGTTCTAGGGGCTGGAGAGATGGCTCAGTGGTTAAGAGTGTTTGCTGTTTTTTTCCAGAGGACCCAGGTTCAATTCCCATCACCCACATCAGGTGGCTCACAATTGCCTACAACTTCAGGCCCAGGGGATCTGACCAACACTGTCTTCTGGCCTCTGTGGGCACCTGCAGACTCATGATGTGTGCATGTGTACTTGATCACACATGCATGCATGAATTAAAGATTCTAATAAATATAGACAATTACATGTAAATGAAACACCCCATATGAGAGTCTCTTGGAGAATCACAGTCCACCATAACTGTTAAGTAACCTACAAAAGCCTTTTTTTTTCAATGTAAGTTGTTCTGGCTAGTTTTATTTTAACTTAACACAAACTAGAGTCATCTGAACCCCAGTTGAGAAAATGCTGATAGATCCAGCTATAAGGATTTTCTCAATTAGTGATTGATGGGGGAGGGTCCTGCCCAATGTGGGTGGGGCCATCCCTGGGCTGGTGGTCCTGGGTTCTATAAGAAACCAGGCTGAATAAGGCCATGGAGTAAGCCAGTAAGCAGCACCCCTCCATGACCTCTGCACCAGCTCTAGCCTCCAGGTTCCTGCCCTGTTTGAGTTCTTGTCCTGATTTACTTTGATGATGAACAGTGCTGTGGAAGTATAAGTCAAGTAAATCCTTTGCTTCAGAAGTTGCTTTGGTCACAGTGTTTTGTTGCATTGATAGAAACCCTAAGACATAAGTTGACAATATGACCAGGCACTCTGTGGAAGGAAGGAATTAAATAGTGGTGGCATGGGCAGGGCAGGGCAGGGGGATTGTGAGTTACAGGCCAGCCTCAGCTATAGTAGAGTAAGACTGTAAAAGACAAACAAAATAAATATCAGAAGCAAGAAAACAAACAAACAACAAGCCCCCAAAACCCAAAACAACAACAATGACAAAACCTCCATAAAGCAATAAAAGAAAATGCAACCATGATTTCAAGGAAAATCCAATAAAGCTTGGCAGCAACTCAGATGACTCCCTTGTTGCATTTTTTGGATAACAGGGATGAAGAAAACAATGATGATGAAATTCCAGGAAATAACCCAATCAGGTGTTGCTTAATGGGGTCTACTGTCATTAAAATCCAATTCGATTCATTTGGAGAGTGAAATACCACAAGTGCAGCTACACTGGAATGGCTCTTGGAAGATGGAATTTGTATGAGTTGGGTTAATTCCTTGATCACCAATTTAAATAAAAATTGATAAAACATGAAGAGGTTGGCAGGCATGAATGCCTGGGATAGCAGTGATGACACCAGAAGGTGCGTTTCCTGCCAAAGGGAATTGGCATAGGATGCAAATTCAGAGCCCACATCCTGGAAAACACAAGCTGTGGAGACAGAAGACAGATCACCTGTGTCCAGCTGTGGAGCAGGAGCCCTGCAGGCCCATGTAGCTCACAGGGACCCGCCCCTCTGACCTGCGCATTTGGCTTTGTGGGCAGAAATGTGTGCTTCTTTCTGTATAGAGCTGTGTGCTTCCTGCTGGCTGGTGAGCAGCTTAATGGCTTATCAATAACAGGTTATACTTTTGGAAAACACAACATTGACGGAGTCTCTTTGGGACAAGCAACTCTGTCTCAAGCAGAATCCCTCTCAATGCAGCAGTTAGGGAGTAGCTCAGGGACCCAGGTCTTTACACAAAAATGGATTCCTGGAGGTCTGAAAGAGTTAGGAGTCTCTTCAGGGGCCTGCTGGACTTGTCACAGCCTGAGCTGGAAATATTGGGGGGAATCTTGTTAGGAAACTTTAATTATGAGGACTTGGCCTTGGACTTGACCTATTTTGACAATTGGCAATAACAAGCAGGAATTGGATATTTGTTTCTGCTTGGAAAATTCTAGCAGGATACTGTAGGCAAAGTGAGATTTCAAAGGCATGCTTATAGTATTCTTGACAAGCTTTTAATTACTTCACATACCATAAATGGTTGGTATAGTATTTAGGACTTTAATGCATTCAGTAACAGGATCCAATGACAATCCCCCCAGCTTTTCTTGAGTTGCCTGTATATGTGGTAGGATGCTTAGAGAATCCAGATAAGAATGATATAAGCAAGGCCGACGATCTTTCATCTTGAGTAATTAGAACCTCAGCATAGGGAAACTTTTAAGGATTGACACAAAATTTATACTTAGACATCAACCTACAGTCTCTGCATAGCCCCTCATCTTGTCCTTGATGAGTGTGGCGGAGCCTTTTCCTTTGCGTTTGAACATCAAAACAGATATGAGTGTGTTAAGCAGGAGAATTCTGTCTGTTGCCTTTTATTTTCAAGGAAACATTTTCTAGAAATTCCCCTACCTACTTCCTGTCCATCTAATTGTTTAGGACTGGTTTATCATACCTTCCCTAAGTCAACTGTAGTGCTGGCATGCTTGCCCAGATAGCTGTCAGTCAGCTTTGGAGCTGAGGACCAGTCAGGATGCATTCCCATGTCAGGAATGGGAGAGGCAGGTTTCTCATCCGAATTCTGCACATGTGTATGGATGTTCATTTGGGGATAGCTCCAATTCCTCCAGTGTGTCATGTCCAGGAGCAGCTGTTGAGACAAAGTTAGGGCTTCGAAATGTCAACAGGGTGTTCACTTTCTATGAAGAGAAGGGAAGAAGAAAATGGATTGGCCAGAGAAAGAAGCTGAACTGTACACAGCATGTCTAACAATACCTTGATGAAGGTGGAACATTCTGGGATGAGTGTTAACTGTCTATACTCTGCACTGTGTTATAACAGCAAGGATTTTATATCTATAAGAGTACTGATTAAGTGTTGGGTCCTGGGCAAGTCAGCTGTCTGTTGCTGGGAAAACCAGGAAGGTGCACTCCCTATGGCTAGGCAGAAGGTCTAAAGATCTTGGTACTGTATCACTGTCTATCAGCGCAGTGCACATAATTAAAACTCTCCAAAATGCATTTATTTAAAGGGATTAGGTGGTCTCTTGGGCCATGAATGCACTATGGTCCTCTTTCTTTATTCCCATCTCAGGTGTTGTGGAGCAGTTTAACTGTATGCTAAGTGAAATGAACTGGTTATAAAAGGCAAATTCTGTAGGTTTGGCTGTACCTATAATCCCAGCACTAGGGAGGCTAAGAAAGGAGGATTGGGAGTTTGAGAGCAGTCTGGATTATGTAATGAGCCATCTCAGAAGCACCTAACAAATTAACCAATCAAATAACCAAAGATAACAGTAAAATGAAATGACAGGGCTGGAGAGATGGCTTACATGTTAAGAGCAGTTGCTGCAGAAGGAGAAGGTCAGGAGCATGGATTCCAGTACCCTCACAAGTTTAGTTACTGGCATGCCTGAAACCCAAGCACCGGTAGGGTGGGGTTGAGAAAGGGTCATTGGGACTTGCTGGCTTCCATCCTAGGCAACAAAAGAAGACAGGACAAGACAAGACAAAATGAATCACAGGCTCCAGGCTCAGGGAGAGACCCTTCTTCGTGGGAAGAAGACAGAGGACAGAGGGAGATACCTGGTGACGTCCCTTAACAGGTGTGTACCTGCTGATGTGTGTGTGTGTGTGTGTGTGTGTGTGTGTGTGTGTGCGCGTGCGTGCGTGCCAACCCAACCCAACTAACCCTCCCTCTATCCTGTACTTCCTTAATAAGATGTCTAAAGCAGTCCCCAACCCATCATCCTATCCTGTACCTCCTTAATAAGCTATCTAACTAAATAAGTTATCTAACAAAGTGGTTGCCAAGATCTGGGGAATTGGTAGAGGAGAACTGTTACTTAAAGGGTGGAGTGTCTGTTCCACAGGATGAAGAAGTTCTGGAAGCCTCTCTCATAACAATGTGAGTGTACTTAGCACAGCTGAAGTATAATGTAAAAAATGGTTAAGATGTCATTTAAAATTATTTATTAGTTTTTCTTTTTGAGATTGTGATATAATTACATTTCCCCCTTCCCTTCCTCTCCACAAACGCTCCCATCTACCACTCCTTGCTGTCATGGCCCCCTTTCCAGTAACTGTTGCTGGATCGCCAGGCACTTCTGCCTTGAACAGCTGGTGGGGCGATCTGCACTTTCTGAGGAGAACTGGGACTCACTGGCATGCAGCTCATTCCTGTTTTCCTCTCATTTATGGTGCTTGTTTACACTCTGAGATTGCCACAGTCAGATGTGAAAACCAAGACTTCTGACTTCCAAATATCTCTTTCAAATCAAGAAATCTCTGTTCTGAGGCCAGTTTTTCCTTTTTGTTCTGGGCTGTGAAGTCTCTGTGGCCAATGTATACAGAAAGCTATCCTTGATGGCCAAAGTGAGGCCTGGATGAAGGACCAAATAGTGCATGTTGGGAAGGCCCTTGGGTAGCCTGACACACCCATAGTGTCCACTTAGAACTCCTAAAATGCAGAGTTGTGCCTTCTGCTTGTATCCTAGGGCACCACTGGCCCAATAGGAGCCACTAAGACAAGTTTGCATCAAGGGATGAGTGTGTGGGGTGCCTTGACTCTGCCTTTCCCCATGTGAAGTAGGGTTAGTGGTTTTTAGGGGGGTGATTACAGGTTAAACTCTCACTCAAATTAGGTTTTAAAAATTAGCCCTATTTCCCTTTGGATGTCCCATTTTCTCTCAGGATAGACTGGTGGCTTTTCATCACAGTGCACACTGGCTGATGGGTTGGCTTTTTCAAAGGCATTTGCTTCTTGTCTCACTTGCATTGTGAAATGGAAAGGGCTGTCTTGTTAAGGGAGTTTTTAGGTGCAATTTGTTGGGAGGGATTCTCTGAGGCAGTTTGTCCCTTCCTGGGCCCCCAAATCCCTGGGTTCTAATTTTTTTCCTTTTTTAAAATTTGAATTAGAAACAAGATTGTTTTACATGTCAATCCCAGTTCCCTCTCCCTCCCCTACCACCTCCCCTGAAACTAAAACCCTACCTATCACATAGCCTTTCTGCTCCCCAGGGAGGGTGAGGCCTTCCATAGGGGGTCACCAGAGTCTATCATATCCTTTGGGATAGGGCCTAGGCCCATCCCCTAGTGTGTCTTGGCTCAAATCCTGAGTTCTTAATCCACATTGCTTACTCTATAGATGCACTGAGTACTTAATCCACATTGCTTACTCTATAGGTTGTCCAAGGTTACCCTCACTCCATGGGTTGGCCCTGGTTATCCTTACTCTATAGGTTGGCCATGATTACCCTTACTCTACCTCCATTATCAGGCTGTCAGGAGGATAAAGTGGGATGATGGATGGAGAAGGACTTTGAAAGTTAAAAATCTTCTCACAGATGCAGACTGTTATTTCAGAGTGGTGGGACAGGTACTTCCCTTGAAAACAGCTCTACCTCTGAGGAGATGGGGGCAATCCAGGAAGAAGTATCACTTATGGGTTCCTTGTTTTAGGGGGAGCAAAGTTCACACACTGTGTTCTGACTGAACGGGATGAAAAGCTATTCTTAGAGTTAGAATGCCCTCCCACCCACCTCCTAGCCTCTAAAGCCTCTAACACTGGGCAGGTCTCCTGGTGGATGATGGGGGTGGGGGCCCTGCCTTTGTGCTTAGGACCCATTACTTCAGGGCAAATCTTAGCTTGCAGACATTTTAAGCTTCTGGAGGTTGAGTGAGTGGATTCCCTGCATTTGATTTGGCTGTATGAGGGGAGAAGAGCTTCTTCAGGGACAAGGTGGGGTAGAAGTGAGAATAGTTGGGAGCTGGGAGGAGATAGGAGCTGCAGCTTGCCTCCCTCCCTCCCTTCCTCCCTCCCTCCCTCCCTCTCTCACTCCCTCTCTCCCTCTCTCTCTCACTTCCTCTCTCCCTCTCTCTCTCTCTCTCTCTCTCTCTCTCTCTCTCTCTCTCTTTCTTTCTCTCTGACAGGGGCTCACTGTGTGGGTCTAGTCTACTTGCTGTGTAGACTAGGCTGCCCTTGAACTGACAGAGATCTGTCTGCCTCTGCTGGGATTAAAGGCGTGGCCCACTGTGGGCTTTGGAGTATTCTCTCTGTAGGCCTGATCTCATCAGTCATGGGCCAGCTGCAGGAGACCTTTGCAAAGGAGGCTGTCTTGTGTCTGCTGAGGAGGTGTGCTGCCCTTAGAGGCAGCTGTTTCCAACACTTGTTTTAGGTCCCTGCAGCCCATTCTGCCTCTCTGGCACTTTCACCTGAGCGATGCCTGAAGGAGCTCTAGTGCAAGCTAGCCACAGCTGGCACAGGGAGACTTCTGTCCTTGAGAGCAGTCCTGCCTGGAAAAGGGTATGGTTGTCAGCTGTAGGGGGATGTGTTCAAGTCAGGAAACAGCTTTGTTTCTGATAGTTCTATAAGAGAGAAAACCTTCTGGGTTCTGGAACCTTCTAGGGCATTGTGGAGTAACCCTAGAAGACGACTCAGTTCTTTCCAAAGAGTTTCCTTTCCTCTTTTGTGATTACTATTCAAATCCACTCACCCTCAAGGGCTATTTGTTCAAATCCTATCCCCTCCTATACTTCTAGAACAATCTGTACTGTATTTCCCGAGCACCCAGAACCTTGCATACACACAGCACATAAATGGCCTCTGGTTACCTGAAACTCCACTGGACATTATTGATACCTTGCAAGTCTACTTTGTGGGTCTTAAGAACTGCCCTCTGCCTGTACAGCTTAGGCTTTTAAATTTTAAAAAGATTTAAAATTTTTTTTTTTATTTTTCAGGACAGAGTTTCTCTGTGTAGACCTGGCTGTCCTGGAACTCACTAGGTAGACCAGGTTGACTTCAAAATCAGAGATCTGCCTGCCTCTGCCTCTGCCTCTGCCTCTGCCTCTTGAGTGTTGTCATTAAAGGTGTGCTTGTATTCTTAAAATTGACTTCTTTTGAACAACCCCATGCCCTACTTTTTTTTCCAAACAGGGTTTCTCTGTAGCTTTGGAGCCTGTCCTGGAACTCTGTCTGTGGACCAGCTGGCCTCTTAACTCATAGAGATCTGCCTGTCTCTGCCTCCCGAGTGCTGGGATAAAGGCATGAGCCACCACTGCCTAGCTCCATGCCCTCCTTTTTACATATTTTTCAATTCCAGATTTCATACCAAACTGCTTAAAAAAATCTATTGCTTTTCTTTCATTCCTGTTTGTGAGTAATTATAAGCCATGGAAGGGAAGATATAACCCCAAGGAGAGAGGAGGTCCCTGGGTAACCTCTGCTGTTCCCACTTCAAAGGTACTTTTCCCACTCTCTTTCTGTCATCCAAAAACCCATCAGGGCTGGCTCATCCTTGGAAGTTCTCACAGGCACATGTTGTCCCTTTGTGATCTCTTGCCTGTCTTTTCCTGTCTGTCTTGCAACAGCTGGAGTATCAAGGGCGACATGCAGGCTAACCCTTGCAGTTTAGCCACACTAGGGGAGTTGCATGGTCACAACAGAAAAAGAACTAAATAGTGTTTTGAGGTTTCTTAGGCACACAGATGTTTGCACACCTGCTCTGGTTGTACAGTATACTTTACAGTGTGATGTTCTAGAAGAACAATCAGTGCTGTCAATGTCTTTCTTCTGGTCCTCTGAGATTTTAATATTAATAATTTCTACAAGAAATTAAAGTTAAAATACTATCATTGTTTACTTCACCAGGGTGTATCCATCCTGGTGGTGCTTAGTTACTAGCTGTGTGTCCCCATCACTCATCTTCCGTTTGCATCCAGGCTGGTACCCAGGCTTCATCAGGGGATTCCAGGATCATGCCTGTTACTTCTACCCTGAGGAGGCCAGTAGCAAGTGGCTGGCTGTGTGGAGCCGAGAAAGGGCAGCCTGATCTCTCTGTGGACACTTTACACTCCAGATATCCCTGTGGAATCATATAGAGGGAGCATGGCTCAGGTCATACATGGGCTTGGCTTTGCCCGTGAAGTGCACTTCTCCTTTAGTTTCTCCTGGGAACACTTGACTTCAATGGTCCTGGAAAGTCAACTATGGTCCCAAGGCCGGACTCTAGGGAACACGGCTAGAGACCTGGAGCAGAAGTGGATGGTGACAGTGAGAAGTTGTAGGTCTTAGGTGACCCCAGTCATAGTTGACATAGAGCTCAATTGGGTTTTGACTGCAGGCACATGGCCAGCACACAGGTGCCAGATAGCCAGAGTGTCTGCTCACCAGCAAGGCTGTGCAACTGGCGGTGTGTGACTGGAGCTGGCACAGTCTGGAAAGGAGTGCTCAGGGCTGAGGCTAGAAATCTGGGTGGCAAAAATCAATTTGAGTAGCTCAGGTCAAAGAGCTCCTGGATGACAGAGTTGGCGTGTGGATTTCTGTAGTTCCTAAGGCTGGAGACTGGCACTGTCCCTAAGTTAGTTAGGATGCTTTCTGGGCCAGAGATCCCTCATATGGCCCTGTCCCTGAAATGCAGTTCCTGGTACCATGTGAAAGTGTTCACTCTTGGACAGGACACTTTCTGTGCCTTCATGGAAAATCCACATTCCCATGCTTCTTCACTATGGTACATGCATGAATTCCCTCTGAGCCAATTATTTTCCAGGAATTATGAATGTACATGAACACTTGGTCAGCTGTGGCTACACAGATTCTCTTCCTTCCTTCCTTCTACCGCCTTCTTGTTTTTTTTTTTTTTATCACTATCACATGAGTCAGAATGGGTGTATCACTTTTAATTATGGGTGATTACCATTCATGTTGGAACAGCTACCTTGTAATGCCATCTCCTATCAGGAAATAAATGCCGACTTAGTGACCTGCGGGAGAGAACTGGCGACCCTTCTCACTGGGGAGACGGCAGCCAGCCGCCTGGCGCTTGTTGAATTAAGAAGTGTGACTATAGTAATTAGCAGCCGCTATCCGGCACCGGCTAGAGTAGATTCTGGGTGAGCACAGTTGCCATGCACGCTGACCTCAGTTCGGAAGAAAGGAGGGATTTGGGATTGGGGCCTAGAGGGCTGGGGCAGGGGTCACAAGAAAGAAAGTCAATAGCAGAAACCAATTTGATGTCTTTGAGCTTGTAATAGGGTTTACTGTGGGCTTGTGGACCTTGGAGGTGTCACCTGTGTACAAGCTTGTTGACAATTCTGCAGCCTTGGAGGTGTACTTGGGACCAGAAGAGTTAAGTCTTGACTGCTTTGCCTGAATTATGTGCTTAATGGAACACAAACAAAAAGGAGGAGATGTGGTGTTAAAATAGAAGTGGGCCACAGATGGGAATGATACGTGATTACTAGCAGTTGTACAATTAATGGAAAAAATGTGCATACAGATCTTTTAGGAAGTGTAAATAAAGCAGATGGATTTACAGGGGGGTGGGTTATGTTTAACTCACCCAGCTTCCATATCAACAAACGCTGCCCTCAAGGTAAATGAAAAAAAAAAAAAAACCAAAAAACAACAACAAAAAAAACTTCTGAGCTTGTATTAGTCACACCCATTTATTTTTGGCAAATTTGTGTGCTATTTGGAAGTTGGCAAGAACAAGAACGTTAGGGCCAACATTTGGTCTTGCTTCGGGAGTTTCTATGAACATGAATGCCTCAAGTTTACATAGGCTTATGCTGTCTCCATAGCAACATGTGTTTGTTGTGAAAATATAGCCTTTTAAAGTCAAAAGTCCGTATGTTAGCTTCAAATTCAACATGCTATCTAATTCTGGTGTTTTAAAAAAGAGTTTTAGGACTATTCTACTTCCAACATTGCACTGGGTCAGAGGGTGAGCTGATGGGTGTCCTCGGAATCTCTGCATTGGGAACCCCTTGTTTATAGGAACTAACCTTAACATTTTCATTTTTTCAAATAGAGCTGCAAAATATGGACTGTAGACCACAGAGGAGCTGGAAGAGTTCTGAGAGGTGAAGCACTGAGGAGAAAGGGTTGTAGTAGATTGTGTCCCCCACCCCTAGGGTGTTTGCAATTTGAGGGAGACCTTGGCAGGCAGCCATGCTCACTGCTATACCACCAATGTGGCATCTTGGGGACACCTCAGGAATATCATCTGGCTGCTTTTTTCATCCATTACCTGGAGAACAGAGAGGAGCTGTAGGGGTGCTGGCAAAAGAGAGGCATGTCCAGCTTGATGCCCACATGGCTTCGTGTGCTGTGGGTCATTTTTGACTATGATAGGGTTCTTAGTGGAATTCTGGTGTGGGTGGGACCATGAAGGGTTAACTTTTTGTAAAACTATGGCACCTTTTCAGTCCACACTCTCTGGGTTTGAGGTCCTGTATCCTTTGTCAGTTTGTTCTCTTATCCTTAGGACTTCCTGGGGTCCTCCTATTCACCCCTCCAAAAATTACTGTCAGCAGTGTAAGAGAGGAGTGCTTCAGGAAAGAGCAATCGGCCTGGAACAGGCTTGGGTGCCACATTGCCATCTGGGACCTGCTTCTTACAGGTGATTGTTGAATGTATGGAAACTCCTTAGCCTCTTGTTTTAGTTTAAGAATAAAAGAAAAAAATACTTGTTCAAATGAGATAGATTTGTTAGACTATTAACTACCACTCAACTGTAAGTTTATAATCGCTGTCACTTTAATAAAGCATGGCAAATACTTTTCTGTGTGTGTCCCAGTTTTTCTCATTGGGTAGTAGTTGCTTAGAGTGCTGTGCCAAAGACTCTAAGTTTATCTCATGAGGCAGAATTGCTGAGATTGATTAGTTATGTCTGCCACTGTCACAGGGAGAGTAGAAGATGTAAGCCAGTGTAAAGTGTTGGAATTTCTAGTTCATTTGCTTTTAGCAGAGATAGAGAACATGAAAGAAGATAAATCACTAACAAGAAAACTTGAGGTATCAGCATATGTATAAAGCTTTGCTTGGAGAAAGCAAGCCCCATGATGTCCGCAGTCCATTATGTATGTGGTTCTTACTCTGTGTATGGAAGACAGTGCTGGAATTATTCCCCAAGGCACTTTCCCTGTGGTCCTGGTCAGGGAGCTACTAACCCAGACCACCATTTCTTCTTCTCTTCCATTTGCTTTTCTTTTCTACACTTTGACATTTGATAAATTCAGCCCTTGGCTATTCACTGTCCTCTGTGTATCTAGATGCCAGAGCTTTTCCTTAATTTTTGGTGTTGGTTGAAACCAGGGCCTTGAATAGGCAAAGCATGTGCCCTTCCCTTGAGCCACAACCCGAGCCCCTGTGTCTGTTGGAACTTGACATGTACAGATCTCTAGCTGTGCAGATATTTTACCTGAATATCCAGTCATCTATGGAACTAAACAGAGGAAAGGATTCTGTCTCCTTGGCTCCTCATCTAATATAGGACATAATATGATTTTCTAAGCAAACTTCAAATTGATTATATATTTTTTTTCATTTTAAAATTGAAGTATTTGAACATAGGTTGAGGAAGACAGATCACCCAAGACTCTAAGAAATTGACCTGGTCTACATAATGAGTTCCAGGTCAGCCAGCTCCACATTCAGAGAATAAAACAAACAAGAACACCAACAAAACATCTTTAAGGACCCAGAGAAGTAATTATAACCTAACATAAAAGGAAAAACTAAAGTTAGAGGTGATGGTGCAAGCCTGTAAATAGAGGCAGGAGAATAAACAAGTTCATCATTCTTAGCTACATAATGAGTTTAAAGCTATGTGAAGTTCTATTTCATAAAACAAAACAAAGAAAGCCAAGATCATGCAATTATGTTGAAAGTGTTGTCTGTATCATTTAAAATACATCTAAGTATTTATATAGAAATAAACACTGACAAGAAAGGCAGTAAATGATAATAGTAATTATTACTTCTAGAACTAATGTTATGACTGGTAGGTAATTATTATTCATGGAGGGCAAATTTTGAAAGGCATCTTTCTGCTTTTGGTGGTGGTATTATTGCCTGTAAGTAGCTAAGTTTCCCTTTCACTGCCACACACACACACACACACACACACACACACACAAAACACATATACAAACACATACAATACCCGAAACATATACATATACAAATGCATACACACACACACTGAGACCTTCATGCCGTTGTTTGTAACTTGGGATTAGCATTGAAGGTTTGAAAATCGATGGTCAACAGATGCAGAGACCCACAGCCAAATATTAGGTGGAGAAAGCCCAAATTGGAGGTCTTTATTTCATCCCTTCCCTTGGAGCTTGGGGAACCCTGTGGGAGAGAGGAGGAAGAATTGTGGGAGAACACAGCCTACAGAATCAACTAAGCAGGGTTCATAGTGGCTCACAGAGACTTCAGTGACAATCATGGACCCTGAGTGGGTCTGATATAGGTCCTTTGCATATGTTATAGTTGTTAGCCTGATGTTTTTATGCAATTCCCATCAGTGGGAGTGGGGGTGTCTCTGACTCTTTTACCTGCTCTTGGGACTCTTTCTGTGCTACTTGGTTGCCTTGCTCAGCCTTGATGTGAGAGTTTGTGCCTAGTCTTATTGTAACTGGTTATGCCATGTTTGGTTGATATCCCTGGGAGGCCTGCTCTTTTTTGAAGGAAAATGGAGGAGGAATGGATCTGGGGGAAAGGAGAGGGGGGTGGGGAGACTAGGAGGAGTGGAGGAAGTGGAAACTGTGGTAGGGATGTATTGTATGAAAGAAGAATAAATTAAAAACACTTTCCAGTTAAGGCTGTCATTTGGATTTCCCAGGTTTAGGGCTAGGAAGTGTTTACTTGTAACATGAAAATGATAAACTTATAGGAAAACCTGACACAGACACCCAGAAATTCATCTCGCCTTTGGGGTTATTCCCTTTTGCTCACCCTGGCAGCCTTGAAAATGGGAATTGACACTGGCAGTTCTCTTTGCTTCTGAAAACTCCCTATGCTGCAGATTCCCGTTCTCTTGGGAGGTTTTGAAGGGTGGTCTGTGCTTCACAGAGTTCCTTCCAGGGTGAGTCTGTTAGGCTTCTAGGATTCTTCCACCAAGGAGGTGTGATCATGGCATGCCACGAGGGCTCTTCCAGGGGCACTTTATAAGTCTATTGTGCTTGCTTGTGTTAATCGACATTTATATGCCCCAAATCTTTATATAGCAATGGGATAATAGCCTTTAAGGCTATAGTTACTATTTTGGGTTAGGCTCACTTGTAAAATAGGATCTTTTTATTGGGAAGCTGTTTTTAGTTAGAGGAGTATATAAAACCCTTTGAAAGACAGAATTTCAATTTTGTGGTTGCTTTCTTATATAGTTTAAATGGTAAAATCATTGCACTTAAATATATTGTATACACATATCACACACACACATGTTTAGAACAGGTTAAAATCATGCTCTGAAGCCTGACTTATTTTTTTAAAAATTATTTTATTACTTATTGTGTATGGGTGTTTTGTCTTTATGCATGCCTGTATATCTTGTGGGTGCTTGGTTCCTGCAGAGGCCAGAAGCAGACATCACACTCCCTGGAGCTGGAGTTACAGATGGTGTGGATTGCCATATGGGTGCTGGGAACTGAACTGAGGTCCTCTGGAAGAGCTGTCAGTGCTCTCAACTACTGAGGCAACTGTCCAGCCTCTTAAGCCAGACTTTTTAGTGGAGAACAACAGAATGGAACAGAATTTGACATAGTGTACAACTTTTCTTATGACCAGGAGTATCTTTAACTTTTGGCAGGAAGGTTCCCTAGGGATTGTGTGTTCCCAAGGGACTAGATACAGGGTACTGTATCTAGTTAGTGTTGGGAACAAGTGTAGAGGACACAGGTGTGTATGGCTACAAAGAGAAGTCAAAATATATTGGTGTGTGTTGAAATGTGTTTCAGAGTACCAAGTTTAGAAATTTCTGTTCTTAGAGACAGAATGCCAAGTTGGCATAGTAGGAGGTCCCCACATAGTAGGAAGTCCCCAGGCCCAGAACTGGCTGTCTTGTTTTGTGGTCTTGGATCAAGCAAAGTGAGTGGATTGTGGGTAGTCCACTCTGTTAGATCTAGATGTGGGATGGTAGCTGGAATTAGATGACTGAGAATTGCATAATGTCCAACGGTTTCCTGCCCAGCAGATACCAGGAAGTTCCCATAACTTGTAGGTTACTTTATCAGAAACAGCTGCTCCTGTAATAACTGAGAACATGGTGTTCCTTGTGTGTAGAAAACCTGCCTCCTGGATTCCCATCTTGTGGCTTCCATAGTTGCTGAAAGAGGTGTTGGATATTGTGATGGCTGGAATATGAAATAACTGTCACAGGTTCATGTCTTTGGATAGCTGGTTCCCAGCTGGGGAGGCTGTGGGAAGTTGTGGAGACTTTCAAACATGGAACCTAGCTGGGGGAAGTGGATCACTAGGGATGAGCCTTTGATTGTTGTACCTACTTCTGGTTCTGGCTTGCATCTCTGCCTCTTAGTTAGTTGTGAGTGTGAGGACCCACTGCCATATGCTCTTGCCACTATAGAGCTGTCTGCTTGCTATGATTGGCTGAGATCCCTCTGAAAGTATGATCCCAAATAAACCTAACTAATGGAGACACACAGAGGCTGTTTCCTTTATAATGGGGTTACAATTTGATAGATCCATCATAAGGTGAATCATCATAACTCAAACATTCATAACCCGATGAGCATTACAACTTAATAACTTAATAATTGGTGGTGATTGTCTTGCTTTTGCTTTTGTCTAACCTTGTGACAGATGATTGTGTTGCCCAGGGAAAGAACAAAATTCAAAACTCAAGGTTTGGTTTCTATTGAATGTGAGTCACTTTTATGTATCACTGTAAAATATTATAAATAGAACCACTGTGAGGTTAGGATGTCTATACTCAAGAGGCGAGAGTGTCAAGAGGGAAGCCCACTGTGGCTCACTCATTCATTCACTCAAGTCAAGAAAGGATGCTATTTCTCATAGAAGGGAGCAGGTAGATGGTCATTGTGTCAACTGCTGTTGAGAGATCAACTGAGCGGGTGCCTAGCAACATAGGAACTTGGTGGAGTTAGACCTGGGGAAGTCATAAGTCGGGAGGAAGTGAGACTGGAAGATGAGGGAGAGGAGGGCAAGTGTAGGCAATCATGAGATGTTTGTGGAGGAAAGAATTGAGAAGGGAAGTAGCTAAAGGGAAACATGGTTGTGAAGGTTGGACAGGGAGGATAGTGTGGGAAAGATGAGACTAAGAGGTAGGCTCATATAGGGCATGAAGAAGGTAACTCATAATGGAAAGTTCTAGAAAGGGCAAGAAGAGACAGGAACTAGTTGTCCAAGACTGGATTAACCCCTACATAGTTTGTAGAACAATCTCCAGAAATGTTAGTGTAGTTGGACTAGAATATGTGGATATTGAAAGGTCTGTCAGTTTGGTTCTGGATGATGGGTAGAATTCCTTTCTTATGAATTCTGTTGGGTCTCTGAAATAAGAGCATGGTTATCTGCAGAGAGAGTAAGGGAAGATTTACATGATGAACCAGCTGCAGATGAAGATTGGAAGACATCTGCAGAGTGAATTGAATTATCCATTTAGTACTTCATAATTGTACATTGCCTCTA